CTATCGCATTTGCTCGGCGATCCCTAACAGCGATTACGTCAAGCCCAATGAAGGAGGTCGAACTGGGTGATCTGAACTGCTCGGTGTATCCCAGATGACGGCGAATTCTCTCGCAATCCAGGTATGACGAGCACATCTAGTATCATTCCTGATCCGGAATGACTGAAAAATATGCACCAAGCTCTCCAGTTGGCCACAGTTTCTACAACGGAAGATCGGCTGGCTACTATGACCATGCTGCGCGCTTGTAACACTCACCTTACGCAGGTTGCATCGGAGCAGGATACCGGGTATAAATATTTGAGGAAACCCTCGTTCTGGAACTACAAGCCATCGATTTGAATAAGGTGAACCGACATACTCTCGTGAGCAGCGACCGTCAAAGCTATTGTGCAGACGATCGTCCCAAGCCACCACCAGCTTTTTCTTAGTGTTCACGCATGCACCATGAACTCGGATCGGAAGGCTGGGATCCATAGCAATCTTGCCGAATGAGGAATCGTTGACAACATTGCGTAGTGGCACTGTGCGGGTGATCTGAACTGCTCGGTGTATCCCAGATGACGGCGAATTCTCTCGCAATCCAGGTATGACGAGCACATCTAGTATCATTCCTGATCCGGAATGACTGAAAAATATGCACCAAGCTCTCCAGTTGGCCACAGTTTCTACAACGGAAGATCGGCTGGCTACTATGACCATGCTGCGCGCTTGTAACACTCACCTTACGCAGGTTGCATCGGAGCAGGATACCGGGTATAAATATTTGAGGAAACCCTCGTTCTGGAACTACAAGCCATCGATTTGAATAAGGTGAACCGACATACTCTCGTGAGCAGCGACCGTCAAAGCTATTGTGCAGACGATCGTCCCAAGCCACCACCAGCTTTTTCTTAGTGTTCACGCATGCACCATGAACTCGGATCGGAAGGCTGGGATCCATAGCAATCTTGCCGAATGAGGAATCGTTGACAACATTGCGTAGTACTCGGCACTGTGCAGAAAGAAGATTTTCCACACGCACTATCCGCTGGGTCGAGATTGTTGAGCTCAAGCTTGGGATACCAAGTTCTTCATGTCGTTTAACAGGGTGAATGTGGCTGATCGGGATATCCTTCCGTAGACGTAATCATTCACGACTTAATTACCTGATGTAACTGTCCAACCGTTTGGGCGTGTTTCGGTGGGCTTGGCCGAGCACGAGAGAATATATCAGCCTTGGTATCCATTTTAGTGCAACCTCAACGGGGCACCGTTCACCTTACTGAGCAGATTTAGCAGCTGCTTTCGATGACTGAAGACTCCTTTCTCATTGGAAGTAAAAGAAATCCCAAAGTATGCCACGATATCTATCGGAGTGATGAGTTCCTCAGCGAAGCAAAATGGCTCGACTGAGAATGCCGTCACCCAATGTTTCCTGCCCCACATTTCACCATAACTCTTTCGGCGTTTATCTTCCTTCCGAACTTGACCGCAGCAGCTTCAAACTTCTCTTTATGGTGAGTGTGGCTTTCTGCACGCACAATCCAGTCATCAGCAAAGGCAAAAGCATCCACTAGAGTGTCATGGAACTGGTATCGTAGTTGCGGCATCAACAATCCAGGAATCTTATCTTTGATCGACAATAATGGAGAGAGTGAAACTCGTTAACTCATGCCGCTGTGGATGCCGCTGCGAACATCGGAACTGAGGAACACTGCTACAGCATGCTCATAGCGTGTGATGTAGTGGACTAGAGGTGACGGTGCTCCAAACACCTCGGCGGATTTGACGATTGTGTTATGCGGAGCCGAATCAAACGCTTTCGAGATTTCACCAAAAACCATTCTGACGTTAGAAGCAGTCACTGAAGAGTGACGAAAGAGGGCATGTAATAGCAAAGTAGCTTCTAAACCACTATCTTGATGAAAAAATGCGAACCGGAGTGACGGCAGTTGCAGTCTACGGCACCGGTGATCAGCAATAACCTTGTGAAAGCATTGGATGACACTGAGATCGGACTCAGTTGGTCCAGTGAAGTCGGATTTAGATGTATACGCAGATAAGTGTGGCCTACCTTCAAACAGTGAGCAGTGTTGGAAACAGCTGCGCTCAGCTTCAAAACATATGGATAACCGGCCACGTCACTCAGTAGTAACATCAGATTGGAGACTCACTGAGCCAGTTGCAGGAGAGGAAGTCGGCCGTAAGATCCGTTTAATGGGCGATTCTCCACAGGCCGGATGACACTGAGATCGGACTCAGTTGGTCCAGTGAAGTCGGATTTAGATGTATACGCAGATAAGTGTGGCCTACCTTCAAACAGTGAGCAGTGTTGGAAACAGCTGCGCTCAGCTTCAAAACATATGGATAACCGGCCACGTCACTCAGTAGTAACATCAGATTGGAGACTCACTGAGCCAGTTGCAGGAGAGGAAGTCGGCCGTAAGATCCGTTTAATGGGCGATTCGTCCACAGGCCTCGACAAGCTAATGCCCGGAATACTTCACCACTTCACTGACAATACGCCCACAGGGTATTTCAACTTACTCTTACTATCGGGGAGTTGTCCCCACATCTGTGTTGGGCTCGCATTACCCCAGGAAAAATGTATCAGTGAGAGATTATCTGATTTGGTGTAATTAGTGCGCCTGTCGTATATGTGATTGATCTGCATCTTGTATCGGCCTTTGTAGTGGATTTATCGTTTTTAGGTAAAAAATATGTAGAATCTAGATATCTTGGTGTGAGGAACTATACTACTGGGAAGAATGTTCCGTGGATCGGATAACTTTGGTACAAATTCCGTAAACAGAGGTATAGAAATCCACTCAATTAACAGCGCACATCAAGAAGAAGACTATAAACATAATCGCACATTTTAAAGGTGATCAACCCAACCGCAAAACATATGGACCAGTGGTGATCGCTAGTCCACGGAAACGACAGAAAGAAAATCGCCAAATGCAAATGGGGAAGCCGAGATCAAGAGTAATATGCATGTTGACAATTTAGAGAACCACCCAATAAACCAGTCAACATAGTCAAACATCCGCCTAATCAATCAAAGCGAGTGGTCATATCGTTCCATAGGAAGTATATAAAAAGCATAGCCCCCACAGGCACACCTCTAAACCACAAGCAGTGTCAATCTGCTGCATACAAGCAATCAAATGAAAGGAATGCTAACGACAAAACAACATTGATCATCGACGGACCAATCAAAATGCAATAGAGCTTTCCGTGAATGATCCAAGGACGTCGATAAATATTAAATAATCTTTTAGTAGCTATATAACCGCAAGAAATTATGCGTGAAATACCCACTTCTTTTCGCCCACCAACAGTATGCCTGGTATAGGTGTTGAGATCTTCGAAAGCAAATTACCGACCTTGGCGAACAGATCAAAATTTACCTGATTTCTACACCCAAAACGGGTGTATATGACGGGATTGACATCTGGAAATGCATAAAGTCACTTTGGCATGATGTACGACTTCACTTCAACATAATTTACGTAACATGCCTACTGATAAGCCGAAACACAATTTTTATGTACACTTCTTAGTACAAGAAGCTGTATAACCATAACAGATTTTGACGTTTATCACAGTAGGCAAGACAGCTTCATGCTGCGTTTTGGTATCCTCTTGACATGCTTTCAGTTCTAGGCTTTGGCATTGCAATCACTGTTCAAGATGTTGGGCTCTGAAGGAGTAACTCATTGAGGAAATTATGTGATGAAATCATAATTGTAGTTGCCAGCGGTTTTTTCCCACTTGCTATTTCAATGCAGGCATTCCAAACTTCGATGAAGATAACGAAACTGACATTACGTCTTGGCGGAGATCAAACTATAGATTAAACTATATCATCTTCGTCATCATGTTATTGCACCATCAACTTAAAGCTCGTAATGACAAAAATTAATACTGATGCTGAAAAGAAAGCATGAATTGTGAAGTTATTTCCATTTCTAATGGTAAAATTCAATGTCACTTGGTCAACCGACTGAAGCACTTAGCCATTCTGGATCCATGCGACAATGCGCACAGCTCATTGCCACATAGTCGTTACTTGTATTACTGCCCGTATTTTCACATTTTCCACAAATGGCTTAAACGGTGTTGGAACAGATACTTTCGTACGAACTGCCATCCGATAAGATATTTCTGATGGCTGCAGTCAACGGTCATTGGCACCTACCGATGTCACTGATATTCATGTTGAACTACTGCTATTATCACTATCCTAAAATTTCCCTTACAAAACAGCTCACGGAACATGTTTAAAGGCCTAATAAGGTATGCTTTGGGTCATTGGACGGTAAATTCGTTGCTCCTAAGTGGATTCATTTGACATCAGTCGTGTCCTCCATTGAACTTCACACTATTTATAGTCAGGGTAATCATTTGTATACCGAGTTCACCATATATGTGCAGGAATTTGCACTGCATAATCCATAAATCTACAATGTGGGTACAAGTAGGGAAACATGGTGGAATGCGAAGGTTTAGGAACCGGATGAGGTGCCAATCAAAGGTAATACTGGAAATTTAATGAACAGCATGCGCTGGAAGATTGACTTCTTGGCTAAAATGTGTTTTGAAACGATTTCGTCATCGTGTATTTGTACTGACATCAGTAACTTAACTAGTTCAACTTGAGCCGCAATCTGTGAGCCTATATGCTCCCTGAGTTTTTGAAGCACCATCGACCGTAGGATTACCTGAGGTCCATCAGTGTTGATCGGTGACGAACTGTAAGAAACACGCAGAGCCCTAAGTATACCTAAACTCTTGGGGAATTTCCGCTCTGATTTTTCTTAGTAATATCCGTGCACAGGTGATCTTGACTTATTATAAAATCTACCTAGCCATTTGGGAATTTTCTCCTCCCTCGGTATCGATCAGCCCAAACGTAATTGTGTAGCTATTCATGAGAATGCAAGAAATTTGACATCCAATGTGACTGCTCATAAACGACCTTCAAACAGAATCTTTTTCACACTCATCCACAGCCTGTGGAAAGAATGATCGATCAGACTCAGTCACTGCCACTGTGAAAACTGATGAGAAGAAACAAAACAAAAGACGTGAGTTTTCAGTTTCCCAGCGTTCAGTTTTCACACTTTTCATACAAGCTTTCCGACGTGGTGTACTGAAAAGACGTACCTTTTTGGGTGCTCTCCGTGAAATACCATCAATGCCGGATTGCGATGTTATCCCTTTTTAGTGAAAAGCACCGGAAAGCCGAGGCATTATTCGAAACGACTGTTTAGGTCATGAGTGTCACTTGTCTTTTGGATACTGGTCTTGGGGTTACTTCTCCGAAATCAAGTAAAATAAAATCAACAAATTCAAAATATTCTACCTTTTCTTAACGTTAATCCTAAAAAAAACTGGCGGCGTCAGGATTGCTCCAAATTCATTCTGACTTCACCGCAACGGCTTTGATAGACAGATCAATGAATTGCTGAGAGCCTTCGGTCTTTTTAAACGTTGCACATAGTGATGACATTCAGTGATGAGGGGATGTCAGCATTTTATCAGGCTGCAACCGTAGTCGATGAACCAAAGGTTTTTAGTGACTGATTTCATGTTTGTGCTTGTTTGTTTTGAGGTAGTTTACGACAGCACTCGGCCATCCAGGTACGAACGAATTCAACATTCCCTTCTGAGTTTTGCCAGGTAGAGTGTGGGCGAGTGCCTTCTGGTGATTCTGAAGCACTCATTACGAACGAGACGGTTACATAAGGTTAAAGTGGCCAACCAAAACCTTCCAATACCCGTTGCGCCTACTTTACCGAAATTCCGTTCTTCTATGTACGGAAAATGTTCGTCTGAACCGTCAGGCTGACAGGGTCACCATTGGCAGGCACTACAATCAGCAGCGTCTACCTGATAATGGACGATTTACGTGGTGTAGGCGCCGAAACTTGCAAGCATAATGTTGATAGTATGCCCATGTTTGCTAGTGGTAGACGCCTCAATTTCAATATATATATATATAACTATCATTATCCCACGAAGATAATCTGATACCCTTAGTTATTCTGACCAAAAGACATTTGGTCAATAATGACCCTCATCATCCGCTGCAGACAAATGTGGTGTCCAATACGTTCACTTTACAAGTCTTGCTCCATTGCTGAAATCAGGCTCGTCTCTTCATGACAAGGGGCACTGCTCAAATAAGAAGAGTTCTTTAAATGAATCTAAGTAAAGCATGCAACCTTCAGACAGGTACCGGTACCCCATGAGAACCATTGGCCACCGATGAAAGAAATAATTCTTACCGATATTATCATTTAAAATTAACTGTACGCTTACAAGCACCAGGGGCCAATCTGAACCGTAACTTATCCGTCACAAAACTAAAATTGAACCAGTCAGTCGGACACCTCAAGTCAGCTTAACTCGAGAGGACCTTCTGCAGGGCATTTCCTCTGTTAGATCATATTCGGTTGATGGCACACTTGCACTGGGAGAATAGATCACCGTCTATTTCAAATAATGCTTGAGCACATACTGAAATACCTGATGTGCCTGATGAGACAAGCAACCATATAGCTGTGAGCCTACAGCTCAGAACCCAGTATAATCAATAAAAAATCTCTAGGGATCGCAGTTCATTTCTTTTGGTTGCAAAAATTGATTCAGTTTTCTGTTACCCGACCAAACATTTGCACGATGATCTTCAGCTGGGCAATGTTGACCAACCGAGACAGTTAGTTTGGTGTGTACCAATGTTATGAACTCGAAGCACATGTCTATCTTGCCACTAATCTCGGATTCCTGCTCCCCGTTAGTGAACGCTTTCACGAGCTTTTCCATGGTTGTTACCTTGTCCTAAATCCATAACTATATGTCTAACGTGAATGATTGACTAAAAAGTAAAGGTACTGTTAACTCCCGGTCATTTCTGTCCTCTCGTGGTTCGGAACAAAGACGAGCAAAGCCGACTGTCAATTGGAAAAACACATCACGGTCAAGCAAGTGTTAATCAGAATAACTTTGCACTAGGCCGCAGATTTTCAAACAATCGGTCTCAATTCACCCTATCGATATTTTGGTAAACAAACGAAAGGCTGATTTGTGGCTGCTAAATTGATTTCGTTATGGGTGTCGGCATAATATATCAGTATCATCCATGGTTTTTCTTGATGTTAGTATTTTTCATGAGTTGCTGGCCACACGTTCACTTGTTATCACTCCCCCATCTTAGTATTCATAACCAGGTTGGAGGTTTAATATTCATGACTTGGAGCTTTGCGTCCATTTAAGAGCTTATGCGACTGGCTACTTAGAGCCAAATCGTTTGATTCTGTGTCTGAATGTTTGCCAACTTATCCGTGAAATCTAAAAGTTTGCTGGTAATCAGAATGTCTGATCAACTAACCGAGCACTTAAGGGACCAGAAGATTCCTTCATAATATGATGTTATCAAAGGTGAGGCACTTTTCGTGGAAGTTAGTAAATCCATTGAGAATGTTGGCAGGTCGATGGGTGAACAGTATAGTCAAAGGTACTCAGACTAGTTGAATTTATCACCTGCTAACTTGCCCTTTCACGTACCCCACCCATGACTGGAACTCCATTCTCTTACTTTGGTGATTTCGTCACATCTGTGTTTATTGAGATAGAATGTCATAAATTATGCCGCAAGGGTATCTCCTGAGATGTTACCGGTTGCTTGCAGCCAGTTTCAACTGATTTCCGATCTAGTGGAAAGCACAGTATTAAAGATAGACTTATCTACCAACGGAGTTACTGCAGATGGAAAAGCCCTCAAGCATATGTCGTCACGACAATCATGTTACGCAATGTCAGGGTCCGCACAGGGTTCTGGTGACGCAAATGGTCTTTTTTGTTTGATCGATACAGTCATTCTGTCGTTTGAGTGTGCAAGTACGAGGCTGCTATAAAGGAAGTTTATCTCACATTGGGCGGTCATTGGCAATGTGCTACTCTAGAAAAGACAAACCCACACATATTTGCATACATCTTCTCTCCATACGCTTAATAAGAACTAGTTTAATGGTACTTCGAGGGAGGGCAGAATATCGGGGTTTCCACTTCATATTTGTTCCGTGAATAAATAAAGATGTATTTGCTTACTCTAAGCAAACTAAATTTGATCAAATTCCAGATGCCTTGAAAGATCTGTCAATGCCTCGTATTCGCTGCCCCCTAGCTCTCACATGAAACCCGTAACGCTTGCTGATTCACTTCAGCACATGTAACCTAACTGACCTGATCTTGAATGTCAGAAAATTGAGCAAGGTGAACGGTCATTGAATTGACAGACTCATGTTCGAGTTTTGATTTTCTTTACCCGTCATTTCTTAACCGGGATTATAGCTGCGTGCGGATTGTGCTGCGTGCACAATACGGATCCAGGTTAACCTTATACAAACAACGGGCACAGGAACAGATTTTATGGTTCCCGTGATATCCGAAATCCTACATTAAAAAGTTCAAAATACGCTTTTCTCATATAGTCATTTTAGTGACTACATTACAGATTGCAGAATATTGAATGGATACCAAATAAAACGTTCTATAGCAACTCAAACAAAAATGTTTATTGTAAAATTTAAGACACGTTCACTGTCTGTGCGATACTTTGTTCTAACAGACATGTATGGTATATGGTTGCAATTCCCTGTAAATTCAATTTGTTCCATTTGACGAGCCACTTCGGTACGTAGAAGAATCTATGCCCCTCACTCTATCGGCTATTCACTTGCCTTAAGACTAGTAAACTGTTCACCTTGCAGTTTTTCATGCATATATCACGCGCGGCTGATAAGGCGGATAGCAGTGTCCTTGACAAGAAGCTAACGAATTTTGTTGCTCATCAAGGCTGAATTTTGAAGAGTTCACGGTTCTTAGCCACCGGTTCGAAGCTAAAATACCCTGGATACTGATCTTATCACTCTGAATTACGAAGGTCGGGTCGTCGAATAAAACTTTGAGAATGTGTTCATTCAAGTGAAGTCAGGAAGATAAACTGACCCCCGGTTCGTAAATACAGCGCCCTTCTATTTTCGATGAGCAGGGTGAATATCCTCAAGCAGATGTCGAAGTTTCGAATAATTTCTAACGGACACGTCACCACTATGGTAGTTATACATCTAGGTATCCGAGATGTCAACTGAGCTGTTTCCCGTCGTTATCATGACTTACGAATACCGTGGACAGTAAAATTGTATCTTTGCGATACACATCAGATTGTCTCTTGATAAACCTCTTACCCGAAATATAGTCGCTCAAATTGTAAAGCGTACCACGTACAAACATTTGCAGAACTGGATCAATAACTAAAGCAGACGTTTTCAGACAACTCATTGAATTGTTATCCACGTTGTAACAGGGTACAGGAGGATCCTTTTATACCATTTGGGACAATATATAACAGATTAGTATGAGTGAAAATCACCGTCGGAAAAAACTGCCAGAAATTCTGAAACGTGTTGTTGCCACAACTGGCTTTGAGCCAACATAATCTCAGCAGTCGGTTGTCCACGCAAACACAAGTCTATATAGAATTCCAAGTAGCCAGTGTGTTGCACAGTGCAGAGATAGATTATACAGTTACCGGAAGCGATTGTGTAGCTAAACCGTCTAAAGAAAGCTATATACAAAGATATCGTTTCCTTCCCCTAAATGTTCCGGACAACACAGACTCATTCATGCTTCATATGTAAACCACTATCCGATAGGAAAACCTAACAGGTTGTAAGGATTCCTCGGAAAGTGATTTTTACACAATTAGTCGTTGAGTAAATTGCATTTTCTACGCTGTATCAAACGGTCAAATGATGATCACATTCAGACGGCGCCTGACCTTAAATTTCAGCAGAAACTCGCAAGTTAGCTTCATGAAAAATGCAGTTACATTTCATCCAAACACAAAGAGCTGCAAAAATATTTGTACTGACCAAAAGGGTTCATGACTTTGATTTTTGCGCAGTGTTTTAGTCGCAAGACAGCGGGCGCGATTAAATTTCAGAAAGCATTCATTTTGCATTCTAAAAAATGGATGGGGAAAAATCAGGAAAAAATGATAACGGAGGAGCGTTTGAACGAA